CCAGCGCCCTCTCTGTCCCCGTCGCGTCCGCCGCCCGTTCCTGCCGCTAGGGGAGTGGCTGCGGAGTCTGAGCATCAGTCGGCCGGTCTGTCTGTCTGTCTGCCTGTCTCCACACCTCCGGTGCGCTCACCGGCCTTTCGTGCACGTGGGGGAAGCCCGGACCCCTCTTTGTTCTGGCTGGGGGTGTGGATGAGTGTGTGCACGCGCGACGGGGATATATTTTAGAGGGTGGGAGCTCCATGGAATCGGACGATTTATATATTCCATCGGGATGACCCAGGCTCTGGACTGTGGCTGCGGCCGGCGTGCGGTGCTCCAGCGGCCAGATGGCAAGTAGCTGCGCGTTCTGGGCTGCGGGAGAGGATGGAGTGTGTCCCCCGCACTTCAGCACACAGACCGCGCCGCCCCTGGGGGCCTGCCTCACTGGCAGCCGTGTTTTGAGGTCCTTTCCTGTGCTTTCCCCAAAGCCACACGGCATTTTTCATAGTGAGTTTTAAATCACGGAGACTTCGGCTTTTGTTTTATTTCATAACAGTTTGTCATTCACGAAGCTGGTGGCATTTGCTAGCAGTGTTTGAAGAGGGGCGGGCTGTCTTTTTGTGTAGTTCTGCATGATCTCGGACTGTCCCCCTGCTGTGCCTGTCCATTAAAAGACTGTCTTTTTGTTGAAGAGGACGGGGGTTAAAATGACCGGAGACCCGCAGGCCAATCTCAGCGGCTTGCTCCGGGGTTACTTAGATGCGGGTGCTCCTGTGGAGAACGTCTCCGCCGCCGTCTCCTCCCAGGTTCCCGGTGTGGAGCCGGAGCCGGAGCTCGTGGTGAACCCCTGGGACATTGTCTTGTGTACCTCGGGAACTCTCATCTCCTGTGAAAATGCCATCGTGGTCCTTATCATCTTCCACAACCCCAGCCTCCGAGCGCCCATGTTCCGGCTGATCGGCAGCCTGGCTCTGGCAGACCTGCTGGCCGGCGTTGGACTCATCATCAATTTTGTGTTTGCCTACCTGCTTCAGTCGGAAGCCACCAGGCTGGTCACCATTGGCCTCATTGTCGCCTCTTTCTCTGCCTCTGTCTGCAGCTTGCTGGCCATCACCGTGGACCGCTATCTCTCCCTGTATTATGCTCTGACATACCATTCGGAGAGGACAGTCACGTTTACCTATGTCATGCTTATCATGCTCTGGGGGACCTCCATCTGCCTGGGACTGCTGCCCATCCTGGGCTGGAACTGCCTCCGGGACGAGTCCACCTGCAGTGTGGTCAGACCGCTCACCAAGAACAACACGGCCATCCTCTCCATCTCCTTCCTCTTCATGTTCGCGCTCATGCTTCAGCTCTACATCCAGATCTGCAAGATCGTCATGAGGCACGCCCACCAGATAGCCCTGCAGCACCACTTCCTGGCCACCTCGCACTATGTGACCACCCGGAAAGGGGTCTCCACCCTGGCCATCATCCTGGGGACCTTTGCTGCTTGCTGGATGCCTTTTACCCTCTATTCCTTGATAGCTGATTACACCTATCCCTCCATCTACACCTACGCCACCCTCCTGCCCGCCACCTACAATTCCATCATCAACCCTGTCATATACGCGTTCAGAAACCAAGAGATCCAGAAAGCCCTGTGCCTCGTCTGCTGCGGCTGCATCCCATCCAGCCTCTCCCAGAGAACGCGGTCCCCCAGCGACGTGTAGCAGCCTTCCAATGACAGGATGCTGCTCACCCAATGCTGCGTCTACCAAGCACTTCCACTGCCTGGCGAGCGGTCCAGATGCTTTCCTTAGATTCTTTATGCGGGATTCTGTTTGGAGCCACAGAAACACTTAGCATTCGTGAAACTTTCATTCAGATCAGTTAAGTGATTGGAGTGAAAATAATGTTACCCGTGTTTTCACACTTTTAAAAAAATTGTTGAGGTCTTTGCTCAACATTCTGTTGTTGTTTAGGAGTGGGGGGTTTGTTTTATATTTTATTTGGAGGCAGGGTTTTTGCTTTATATTTTGTTTGGAAGGTTGATGGTGGGTCAAAAAGGAAGGGATTTGACAAGGCCATGATGTTCTCGAAAGTAAACTGGTCCCAGAATCTTTACTGGACTTTAAAATAAAATGGAGTTATTGAGGAAAATGAAGTTACTCTTTCCAGACTTTTTTTTTATATGTCAAGGTAGATTTTCAATACTACATGTATCTAACAGAATACAGTCTCTTTCATGCCAGTGGAAATGTTTTACATGCTTTTGCTTGGAAGAAACCTGATTTTGTAAACATGAACTCAATAATAAGTTACCAACACTGAAACTGTGAGCCCGTTCTTATTCATCCTTCCTTTACTTTCAGCAGTTACTGTTGACAAGAATTACTCTGGTATTTCTATGACTGTTGTAACTCTTTCTGCATGGTTGCCTGTATTAGCTAGACCACTAGTTTCAAATGTTGTCATGTAAATCCAGAATCAAATGCGTCATTTTTCAACATAGGTTTTTAATATGTCCTTTTAAAAGTGAATTATGAAATTTGTTTTTATTTGCATAGGAAGTTGGATTCACCCTTGTAGTTTCTCAAGCTACAGTCTCATTGTTTTTAGGAAACAAAAAGAAAAAATTAATAATATCTCTTGAAAGTAGATTAAATATATTTCAGTATATTCTGAAATATAAATCAATGTAAAACTATCACATAATATGAAAAACATCACTTTTTTCTATCTTCATCTAAGAATGAATTAATAGTTATTCTTGATTGAGACAAATAGAATTAAATATTGTAGACCACATATTTCTGGTTTATATTATCAATGGTGTAAAATGCATTTGAAACAGGTGGTCTCCTTTTTTAATTATTTTTTTGTTTGTGTGTACATAGCACCCTTATCTGATGGTGACATATCATATAAGTTCACCAGTGGCTGTTCATAAAAAGTTAAGTTTCAACTTCTTTTTCTTCTTTTCACCAAAAAACCAACTTAAATGCAATAAAAACTGTATTTCCTGTTTTCAGAGAGCAAGGATTTCACAAGGAAATTACACAGAAGAACTGATTTTAAACATTATAAAATCATTGTGTCTGAGCATCATTTCTGTTAGCACAGACAGATGTTTTGGGACACTTTCCCTCCATGGGCAGTGGACTTACAGCTGTGTCTACACAACCAGATGGCGATAAGACCAGTGTAAGAGCCCCTGGTGAATCATTAGCCTCATTGGTTTGTCCCCATGTTCTGCCCATGGTCTCAGGACCCTCCGGCTAACTGCATACTGATGCCATCTCTCCAGAGCCCCTTCTCATGTAGCACAAATAGGAATAAATCCTCTACTCAGACCTGTGTCTCCTCCCTTAGGCTACTTGTGGAAGCAGGAGAAAGGTTGAAATATTTCAGAAATGGAGAAGGATTTTTCAATGCATATTACCTTACAATCTAATCAAGCTGATGCCTTTAAAATTTTTTCTTCAATATGTGATTGAGTTGGTAGATTGAACATGATGAGTCTGTTTTTAATCACTTCGAGTCAGTAGCAGCTCCATGCCAGAAATAATTAAGGTAAGTTGGTTTGGCCATGGGCTGGGAAATATCCAGAAGGAGGTCTGAAAGCAATAAGTGATGTTTTTGTAGTAATGGCCTTGGCTGGTTAGTTCAGTTGTTCAGAGCATTTTCCTGATACCTAAGGTTGCGGGTTCGATCCCCGGTCAGGGTGCATACAAGAATCAATAATCAATGAATACATAAATAAGTGGAACAACAAATCTATGTTGCTCTCTCTCTCTCTCTCTCTCTCTCTCTCTCTCTCTCTCTTCCCCCCCCCCTTTCTATCTCTAAAATCATTTTTCTTAAAGGTGGGTTTCTCATAGTTAGAATTATCATGATAATAACATGTGCTTTGTTTTACCACATTTTGTGTCAGTCCCCATGCTGGGTGATTTACCTGCTGTTACTGTATTCACAAAAACACACTATTAGAGGCAGGACCACTAAGGCTCAGCGAGGCTAAGAAATGTGCCTGAGGTCCCAGCTTCCAGGGTAGAGCCAGGATGTGATGCAGGTTTTCCAGCATCTATACCTGCCTCCTTTTGCGCACTGCTGCCTTGCTCCTCACTGTGAGGGCAGAGGGAAATGATTTATAACATGTTACTGTTACTACCTTTTAGTTCTACAATTAACACATAAAGCTTCTTGTTTAAAATTCCGTGTGATGGGGCCCTACCTGGAATAGGTCTGTTCTTAGCATCCTCTTCTAAGTATTTCCCCCTCTGAAGACAAGAGGCAATATTTTATGTGAAGCGGTGAAGGCACTCTTACTATACAGTCATTTTTTCTTCATTTATTATTGTAAAGTTTATATCATACATGTACATCAGTATGTAATGGTCGGATACACACTAGTTATGTGGTTGCTTTTTACCCCTATTTTTTTAAATCCCTACAGGGGATATGTTTTTATTGCTTTTTTTTAGAGAGGAAAGGAGAGAGGAGGAGAGAGAGAGAGAAACATTGATGTGAGAACACCAATTGACTGCCTCCTGTATGCTCCCCACCAGGGAATCAAACCCAAAACCTTTTTGGTGTACAGGACGATGCTCTAACCAACTGAGCCACCTGGCCATAGCACCTCTGTTTTTAAAACATCTTATTTCAGCAAAGATTTTTCAATTCAACTATAACATGTTTTTACTGTTTACATTGAATTGTGAAGGTTTTTGGAAGTCTATATGGTTTCCTATAAAATTTCTTAGTTTCCGTGGGGTTAATTGTTCAATGTGCACAGGTATTGATATATATGTAGTTGTTTAGATATGTGTGTATATATCTATATAGATATACTAGAGGCCCAGTGCACGAAAATTCATGCACTGAGGGGAAGGGTTCCTCAGCCTGGTCTGTGCCCTCTCACCATCTGGGAGCCCTCAGGGGATGTCCTACTGATGGCTTAGGCCTGCTTTTCACGGAGAGCAGTCCTAAGCTGCAGTCTGGCCACCCTCTGTGGGAGGTGACCGGGCAGCTGATGAGAAGGCAGTGCTGACTGCCCGCTCCCCATCACCATCCCCTCCTTCTTCCTGCTGGCTTGGTGCCTCCTGCTCACAGGCCCTTCCCTCCCAGCCTCCTCCCCCCTACTAGTAGTTCAGCTGTTCAGTCTATTTGCATATTACACTTTTATTATATAAGATAGCTTCAACAACATTAACTTTGCAACAAGACTAAATATATCATGTAAAACAGTCATATGTCCAGAAGTCCTGAGGTAGCAGGTACGTTTTTACTCCATGTGTTTAAATATTTTAACTATCAAGGTATTTCTGTTATTTCCAGTAGAAATAGTTATCCTTGGACAACTAATTCAGTTACCATACCTGAATCCTTAGTCGAAGCTACTTATCCAGATTGTGACTGTCCACGGTTTGGTTTCCTTTTATCCCTTGAAGTCGGTTTCTTGGTATCAGTCAAGCATGTTTCTTCGTGGTAAAGGGAGCTGTGTCCCTGGGACCTGGAGGCAGAGAGGGCAGAGGGGAGGCAGAGCGCCTCCTTCCCGGAAGCCCAAAGTGAAGAGCAGTTCAGGAGGGAGAATTCCTCGATTGACGTGGGGAGTATGAATGGTCTCAGAGTCCCGGAATTTAAAGCAGGTTTAAACAGGTTCAAATGAGATAAGAAATAAAGATGTTTAGTGCCAATAAAATGTTTTGGAGCCTTCTTAAACTGTTTTTTCTTAAAGAAATACTCATCCATTATTAAAATGATGATTGACTTATTTCATGGTAATGTATATTATATAAAATTAAGATAACTTTCCATTTCAAATTTAAAAGACATTAAATAAATGCCATATCAAATTTAAATTACATATTAAATAAACGGTGCTATTTTAAGCAATGCTTATGTTCTCACTTTGCTTATATGCCTGATGTAATAAAGAAACAGAATGCCTTCTTGTCCCCTTTAAATTTCTTAATGAATATTGGGTGTTTTTGATATTTAATTGGAAACTTCAAATCTGGTTAGAACTTTTAGAATCAAGAGTAGTCTATATACTTCAAAGAAGTAAAAACAGGAAAAAATATTGGTGATTTTGACTAGGGATCCTCGAATTTTTAGTATTTAAAGGGCATACAAATTGAAGAATCTTATTAAAATGCAGGTTCTGTTTCTATAATAGTCTGGAGCATCGCTGCATTTCTAACAAGCTCCCAGGATGCTGGTGTTGGAAATGCATTAGTCTTCGGCAGCACTCTGATAAGTTATTGCAAGGATAACTATCACACCTTCAGCACTCTAAGTCTACATCTCTATCTATCTATCTATCTATCTATCAACACTTTGAAATGTCTGTTTTAAAAGTGTTTATTCTTGTCAGAGGTTAATACATAGATAAGTAGTCTGCATTCAATGGATATGAACTTTGAACTTTTCCTAGAATTTCTAGTATCTAGTAGAGATCTATAAATATATTTATTCTACGCTTATGTCCTCACTTTTAAAATCCTAATTACCATTATCTTAAGGCAGTTCTCTCAGAAATGATGTGTGTGTGTGTGTGTGTGTGTGTGTTTCCATATGCCTGTGTGAGTACATTGAGAAATAAATGTTCACCTCCATTTTTTCAAAAAAGAAACATTTTCTCTGTGGTGTATTTCTGTTATTTCCAGTAGAAACTCAGCTAAAACCTATGGGAAAGTTGGTTTGTATTTGGGGGGCTGCAAGTGCTTACATGAATTTATCTTGAGATAATTGAGATGAAAAATTTTGTTCTCTGTGTTCTAAAATTCAACTGAACTCACCCTAAAACAACCTTTTCCTAGCTAAGGTGCACCAGAGAAATTTTAAAATATCTCACCTTGGTTTTGACATTTATCTGTAACCTTTTGTGATTTTTCAGCATCAAAAATAGGATTAATAATAGTAGTTACAATAGTCATTACATCCACTGTGCTTCTTTGCTTCCCAAGGAGGTGAGAGCATTTTTTAATCCAATAGATTAAACTTCAAATCTTCCAATAGATTTAACTTCACCCATATTAAAGTACATAGGTGAAGTGACTTTAATATGTATCTTAATTTCTCCATAGTATAAAACATACAGAAGAAATCAAAGAAATCTAGGACATTTTTAATCATAAAAATTCAAATAGTTACATCAAGCACCTGTGAGCAAACGTTCAGCTGAAAATAAGTTTGGAGCAGGAACGCAAACATTTCCTCGGGCCCGGATCTCCCTGGTAGTTGACCATCTGAATATCTCTAAAGGTAAAAGGATATCTTACTGACATTTTCTCCAAGGCTGGGGTTTGTGTTTCTCACCAGACAGCATGGGGTTCTTGTTTGTTTTGGTGAAACCACAAACCCTTCACCCTTTATCTTGGCCAGACTATGGCCTGTCTTTCATAGACATCGTGGCTACTTGCTAAAACCGAAGGGAAAGTTGGTTCTGACCCAACTATAAACTTACTTCTTCCAGGACCCTTTGGAACTATGAGCAGATGTATGCCTGGAAATTATAAATCCTAACAATTGGATGGAAACTTCAAGAGTGGAATTTCTTATATTGAATCTAAATCAGAATACCTTTGAAACTATAGTACTACACTTCCCCTCAATGCTTGGCAGTGTGTTAATATCCCTAATCTCCGTCTTTCTTCTTACACTCTAATTCTGTTTATCTTGGCTCAGACTCTGGAGATACAGAGAACACTCTAGTCACAGTCAACATTTATATATTGGAAATTTTGATTAAATAATATGGTTTTCTTTTTTTCAAATAAAATTATCCCAGTTACGTGTCATTTTTCTGATTTATTTTAGTTCATATCCTTTTGATCGTTATCCTTTTCCCATATCATCTACCATTTCTCTGCAACAAATTGGGATACACTAGCCCGCTAAATGTAGCGCTACCCAGAGCAGAATGACTGATGCGCTCTGCTTCTGCTGGCCAGGTACAGTGAGCCTTGAGTGTGGGCCCCAGCAGCAGCAGCAGCTCCTGGGAACGAGTTAAAATGCAGTCTCGGGCCTCGCCCAGAAGGTGACTCAGAAGGTGTGAGGCCCCACAACCCGTGCCATGTATCCCTGCCTGAACCTGACGTGGTACTAGCATAATTAGCGGCACTGATATCTCCGAGTAACTGGGACCTGTCGGGCTTTCGCGCTGCCTCTGCCAGGCAGGCCTCACGCTGTCCTCTGCTGGGTGGCCGGTTTGTGGTGCTGCCCTGCACTGAGAGCTTTTGCTGTTTTTGAGGTTATTTCCGCATTCATCAGGCGCGATTGAACTTCTGCTTCCGTTGGGACCAGACCACAACTTACGTGGTGGGTGACAGTGAGATGACACCTGACGTGGCGATGACAGTTGAATTGATATAAAGACAACTCGGTGAAAGGGGAAAGGTTCATCAGGCCTCTCGACATGGGAGGTGATGCTCCTTTTCCTCTCTGTGACCTATCTGTGAACCTTCGAGAATATGCCACAGTTGGGTCAGCCACCCAGCCGTCTATCCACACTCATCTCCTGTGATTTGTACACACACATGCACACGTGTGTGCGCATTACAGTCACACTCATCTACATATTGTCCCTTCATTCTCAATACCCAGATCTGAAGTCTTCAGTGAGGAAGTCCGGAGAACTAGGCCCTCACTGGCGGGGGGTCGAGTGTCTGACCTTCAGGCTCGATCCGTGGAGTCCCACTGCAAGGCGAGCGAGTCGGCAGGACAAAAACATGCGATTCCCTACTGAGCGCGTTTCCTAGGACG